CCGGGAGAAAACGGGAAAAACAAAGGAAAAAAGAAGAGGCAGCTTCTGGGCAAAGTTCTCTATTATCTACGTCTACCTCTCTAATTCAATCTCTTCCTAACAATATTTAAGCCTTTCTGCCACAAATAATTATTTCACAGTATAGATACACAGAAACATTGCATTCATTTAGCGCTACCAAAAACTACTACAAATTTTTTAACCAAAAATATATTTGTAAATCAAAACACAAACCAACCACAACCAAATTATTTAAATAGGACCAAATGCATCAATGCAGCTGGCAAATACAACAGTGCAGGCTGCATGCTAACTGCAAACTTCCTACTGAACTCTTTGCTAAAGAAGTCTAAAATGAATGCTAAGTTTAAAACAACTGAAAGCAACTGTAGGTTGGAACCTGAGATATCAAACCCAAGTTCTTTTCAACTTCTCTGTCACTTTCTAAACCAGCAGAATTTCTCACTGTGTGTGGAATATTTCAGGCTAAATTAAAGTGTTTCTGCATTGGACTTAATTAATTTTGTCCCTAATACAAAGAGGGGAAAAAAGCCACTAGCTATAGTATTACAAATCAGCTGGTATGATGCAGACTAGGAGGAAACACATCCAAAGTGCTCTGAGGTAGCTGCCCAACGTTACGAGACACTCTCAAGTTCTGACAAAAAGAAGAGTGGGCTGCTAGTCAGAGGAACCTCACCAAGCTCGAGGAGTAGGCAACGAAACCCCATGAGGTTAAACACAGCCAACACAGAAGCCCTAGAACCGATCAGCCTCATGCACAAGAAGCAGCTGAGAACAAGAAGGACAACTCTTGTAGAAAAGGCTTTGGAGGTCCCAGCAGACAAGGAGGGGACGACACAGCAGCAGCACACACTTGTGGGCAAGGTGGCCAACCACAGTGAAGCCAGAGGCGGTTACCCACCGTTTGGCACTGCGAAGGCCACATCTGCACGTAGTGTCCAGTCCAAGGCTTCTCAGGACAAAGACGTTGACAGACCAGAGGGAAGCCAGCAGAAGGCCACTAAGTAGCCAGTAGAAGGCCACTAAAAGCAACAGGGAAGTCTGAAAGAATAGAGCTTTTGCAGCCTAGAGAAAATAACCACCTCAGCTACCCCACAGGGCATTACAGAGAAGACAGAGCGAGATTCTACTCAAATGCCCAGTGAAAGGACAAGAGGCAACAGGGCACAAATGCCAGCAAACTCTTGGCCCTAAGGAACCGACTCCTCCCCATGGGTGCAGAACAGCCCTGGGATAGGGCCTAGAGATCCTCAGTTGTCTTCATCCTGACATGGGTTCAAACTTCAACTGGACAAGCCTAAAGTAATCTCTGGATCTAGCTCAGAAAGCTGCCCTAGTTTTCACAATGAGTAGGCCAGATACCTCCAGGGTTCCCTTCCCACCTCATCTGTTTGCAGGGAGATTCTCTCCTGGTATAATAAGATAGGCAGCTCAGTTTACCTTGTATGAACTGGAATTATTCTTCAGTTCACTATGAAAGGAAAGAGAGATCTTCATTGCAGACTAGGACAAACCTGAATGGAAATATTTTTATTCACTCAACACCACTTATTGTTTTGAAACAGAACAACGCTAAACTCTGCTTTTCAGAAATGGGCATTCTCGGACCAGAAGCAAAATTCTCATACAGATTCCCTTTGACAGACCCCACCACTCGTAAGTACAACACATCATCTGTGAGAGGTGGACACAGTTCAACACACAGCAACGGCTCTGCAGATGCTGGGTTTAACAGCCCTTATCCCCAGCTTCTTTCTATTCCATGCACCTCCCTCCACCAGACAGACCCACCCACTGGCAACGCGACACACGGAACCCAAACGGACAAACAAATGGTGGAAAAAACAACCTGAAAGCAGCTGCATGTTCTTCCTCAGGATGTCTTATACTTGAGACTGCTTCTGAACAGATGCTTAATTATAACCAAAACATTTCAGCTGACAGAAATGTCATCCTACTACGCCAATCCACGTAGAATTCAGAGACTGCCAGCATGGCGGCTGATGCACAAGACGAACAGTCACACGTTTAGTTAGCCATTAGATTTTCAGGTGCTTCTCCTGATACATACTTTTATAGAACATTGTTTTAAACCACTTACTGAGCTCACTGAAAATGCAATGCTAAGCTCTCCCATTTATTTGAGTCTGTATCCCAATAAACTATACAGAAAGACAGTGAAAACTCTGACAAGCATTTGTTTGAGATCTACACTATGTGAAGTCTAATGTGCACACAAGATTAGACTATTTTTAGAGTCCAGTATACTTCTGCTGCTCCTGAGGCAAAGGAGGTTGTCAGAAAACAGCTGCCAAAACACAATGCAGCGGAATAGGAACATAAGGAACTTGAAATGACAGGAAAGAGCATGTGCAAGAAAATCTCAAATGATGGAAGGTTCCCAAGTAACCTCCTGAGAAACGTATTGTCTAGTTGCAGAAAAAGTTTTAAAAAAAATAATCTATCCTGAAAAACAGAAGAGCCTTGCACCTAGAGCAAAACATTGTTATTTATTTAGATACCAATCAAAGTGGTATATCTGTAGAAGATTCAAGAGAAGTACTATCTTGTCCTTGTTTGCTGCTTGTTTGAAGGGATACTGGGGTTTGGACGCTGAACCTTCCCTGCAAATAAAACCCGTGTTGAATTTCTCCATCTTTCTGGCATATCCAAGTAACTGTATCAGGAGCACACAGATAGAGGGAAGGGGAAGAAAAAAAAGGAGCAGAATTATTTTTAAAGGTAACCACAACACAGCTGTCAAATTTTTAAAAGGTAACGTGCATGGTGATGGAATAAGCTGCCATATGATCCATCCAGTTGTGCAAAATGCTAGGTAAAAATACTCTCACTCATCAAATTAGCTTTCAACCTAAACTGTGTATCTTTTGTGACTCGAGCTGCCCAAAACATGTCTCTATTTCTGATAATCTGGTGGTTTTTAAGGATCTTAGAGATGTATAGCTCTGCAAAAGATTTGATGCTTATTTTATCAAACCAATTTTAAAAGATTTTATTTTTATAAAACCAATATGCTGTTGTTTTAGAGAACCAATAGAACAGCATGGGAAAGAGCCCAGCAGTAGTAGGTGATATATTATGCTTCTGAAAAAGTATAATATTTTGAAAAATCCACACAGCATTTCTCAGTGAACACATCTGAAGTCAATTCTGTCAGAGCAGGAGCTGGGAGCAGGGAAAGGAGAGAGACAGAGAGAGAAAATCTGATTACCATGCCCTAGTCCACTACAGAACAATGAGCCAACCACTAAGTATTTCTTCTAATTTCCAGAAGGATTATCTCACAAATGGGTGAGGCATTACCACCAAATCCTAATTCTCTTCTTTGAGTCACGGTGAGCATGGGCAGTTGTGAAGAAAGTAGTGAAATACAGAAGACGCTGTCACTTTAAAAACCCTCTCACAATTGTGACAACAACAGTACTTTATAAGCACCATAATCATTTTGGAAGAGTGTACTGAACAACAAAAGAAGGATGGGACACTCTAGTTAGGAGACATTCATCTTAAACCCACAGATACTAGGGCTAGCAAGGTATGTGACAACACTGAAAATAACCTGGAAAAGACAGATTTTTAAAAGTGTTAAACTGAAAAGACGAAACCAAAAGCAAACCAGACCGAAAAACCAAAACCACGCTCCCAAAACCAGAGCAATGACACAGGATGGTGATGTTCCCACAGCGTACAGAGAAATCTAAGCTACTGATCTCAAAACAACTTGTGAAACGTTTTTATAATCAAACAATACAGGAAGTTACTTCCAAGAACAGGGAAGAGTCGAAGCTCTCAGTAACTACGGTACTGGTAGATTAAAATCACAGCAAGCCAACTGATGCCGAAGCAAACAAACAAAAATTGACATAAAAAACCCCACAAGACATTCTCAAACACCCTGGTTTTCCATTTGCCCCTCAGTGTGCTTACATTAAACATCTAATAAGTCAAAGTTATCAGAATAATGTTCTTCATCTAATATAGAATATTTCTTCATTTTTTTCAACTGCATGTAAAGATGTCCAAGATTTAAAAGAATTACTTTATTAACTACATAGTGCCTAAAGAGCAGAGAAATAAGAAAATGCACTTTCTAGAGTAATTTTTACACTGCAATGCTAAACAACCACATTTTCTAGTAGTGCAGTAAGAGGAGATTGGGAAAAATGTATCAGACTACAAACAATGCCAAATGCCACTGAAAACACTTATGGCCCCACTTTCTGTTATTTGTATTAAGTGCGTATTAATTCTGTAATGTAATTACCATCTGGAGAATTCAGAGACTTAATTTATATCATTTTACAGCCTTTCATTGGTCTATTTAAAGGAACTACCAGACAAAACATGAAGAGAATGTCTCTTCTATTTTTAAACACCCTCCACAAAATCAGAAAGTTATGCATTTTAGAGCAGTTAAACAAAGAAATTATGAGTATGTAATACTGAGCCTCTTCCATAAAAGGGATTCAACTAAACATGAACACACATTAAATATTTTCAATATCCCATATACTAAGTATTCCCTTCCACATTACAGAAAAACACATACAGATTAATCCTTATATTGAGTAGCTTTTACACAGATGAAACACCAGTACAACAACAGGACAAAACATGAACTTTGAAAAAGGAAAACAAAGACAAAACTAACACTGACAAAGAAAGGCATAAGATGAAAAATACCAGGTTAGATCTTGCAGTGTAGTATATTTCTTCTGAATTGTCCAAAAAATCGCTACTGTCAGGCTGTTCATCAGATAGAGATCAAGAAACTCAAGTTATTTACATTGTGACTGAAAGCCAGGTATACATAACAGGAAATTCTCTTGCCAAAAAAAAGTTGTTAGTTGAAACTCAAACCATGTTAACACAGTTCTGGGGATGGGGACAAAACACAGCTAAGGGTATGGTCACATTAACAAAAACTACTGATTTCACACCAGAAGTAATGAATTATTGTTCATCACCTGAGCTGTGGCAATGACCGACAAACTGTCTCAGTAAGAGACAAGTGTGTCCCAGGTCAACATATCAGTGAAGCACCAACAATAACTCATCCCACTGCAGTGGTCCAGTCCTTTGGCTTGTGACTCACACCCATAAGTAAACAAACATAAATTTTAGGCAGGCTTTAGTGAGACAGAAGCAAAAGGGTCAGACAAACTGCTTTAATGAACAGGGGTTCGCATCGTTACTGCAGGAAGAACAGAGGGGCATCTCTTATCCCACTTCCACTCAACAGATTTTGTCCCTCAGCCTTTTTTTTGTCCCTCAGCCTGCTTTGTGCTAAGGCTCTTTGCTAGAGCACACTTCTTTTGAATAGATCTCATTTACATTTGACACGCCAATTTAAACTGTCCATTCGTTCTACAGCTAATGACAAAATACGGCTTTTCTTTGCTCTCTAGACCAGACATCATCATCTTCAAAAATCATAGTTCTGTTTTATCTGGAAAGGACACATCAGGTCCACATGCTTCATTCTGATATCACCAGGGGAGCAGTTAATTTCCCTCTTCAGAAAGATCCAACCAAGCAGTTATAGATCTTCCTTATAGACAGGGAGATGAGGCAAGTGCTTTGGACAGGTTTCAAATATACAAACTGACAGGAATAGACAACACCAAGAGATTTCCTTGTCAGCAGAATTAAACTGGATCATTCAACTCCCTTCTTGGAGCAGCAAGAGTTTCCAATATTCCAAAACGCAAAGGTCCTGATTGCTAATGTACAAGGTAGGAAAAGGCTCGGTGGTTCATCCCTTCCCACAACATCTGGCAAAGAATTGCTCTCAAAAATTGTGCTTTAATCCCTGCAGAAAAATCTCTCTACTCAGTTTAGCAATTCAGGTTCCTAAAGTGCACTGAAAACACCTCTCGGCACCATGAAGTTATCCCCTAACTCATTTGTATGGTCAGTGACTGATAAAACAAGAAGAGTTTTAAAACTTCAGATTCTCCATTAATACTTTTTTACAAATATAATTATGTGTGTGCAGAAACAAGTAAAATTCTTCAGAAGCAAAAGCACTGTAATTTGAACTATACAGTGTAACTGATTGTTTTTTCTTTGTAATCCAGACAATGCAACAGCAAAGCCAGGATAACTTGGAATCAGATTAAAAATAATTTTGAACTAATTGATGAGTTTGTGACAGAAACACTGACTTCATTACCATATTTAATGAACACTTGTATAACCAGTGCTCCTGAATGATGCTGTTATGGAGTTATGTCAAGGTCTAAATAGTTGCCTAAATTGTTCTCCTTTGTCTCCAACAGACACCAGAAACTGCAGACTACCTGGCCAGCCAGTTGCCGAGGAAGAGCAAGGTTATATACAACCTCACACACCCAGAGCCAGCTGACCCAGTACCAACGGACAAGGCACTGGGAAGGAGATTTTACTAAACTACAGAGCAATACAAGGAAACACGCATCAGATATCCCACTCACATGTGGTTTGTAGATTACAGAGGAGGAAGTACATTCCTAGGTACACACCCTTCCCACAAACCTACTCAGAGCAAAGCCCATGTCCCTCCCACCTATGTACTAAGTCAACTTTTTTACTTTAACACCTGCCTTAAAAAAACAAAGAGAACACAGAAGTCTGCAGTAGGGAAGCAAAGCAATGATTTATCCAGGAATGTGAAACTGCCCAGGTGCATAAATGTGGAAAGCAACAGTCTCCATAGAGAAGAGAGGAAGCTACTGCAATCGTGTATGTGAGACAGCACAGACACCTTTTCCCTCGCTGCCTGAGTTCTCGTATCCCTTGTACTAAAGGAAGAAAACACTGGCAATGCACCTTTACGAAATATGCCAACTGGCACACTCAGTGTGGCTCAGGTGTGATGCACAGCCATGGAAAGATTGTTTGCACAGGTAAATAACCACGCAAAAAATATTTTTTTTTAAAATGCACCTTATCTCTTTCCAAGGCTCTAAATTTTATTATTTCCATTATCAATCATTGTCAATACAAGCACAAGACAGAGAAATATTTGAGTATTCACAGAAATTCTACAATTTAAAAAAATAACTCTATAAATAAAGGGAATGATATACTTGGCAATGAGGTGTAAAGGACAGAGGAAACCCACAAGACAAAAGGCTGTTGCTTAGCACATACATCACACCTGGCAGAGGTGTAAGATCCAAATAAGGGTCTTACTGTATATTGTGTAATGGCACCACAAAGCTTAGGACCGATATGTAATGACTTGTCAGAAAAATCGCTACCAAGTTTAGTAGTGCTAAGGAAGTATGCGAAACAATCTTGGAATTCTCCTCCTCTGCATGTATTTGCAGGGAATACCATGCAGAGCATAGCCCATGCTGCTTGTTACTCACAAATTCATGATGTGGCTCTGTCTCCTTCCTCAAGGGTGGATCAAATTTTACTTGGCCAACTAAAGAGAAGAAAAGGAAAACAAGAATTTAAGTTGGACTGTAATTAGACAAAATTCAGCTCCAAATAAAAGAAAAATCCAGTTTAATGAGTGTGTCATATCCCCACTGATGCAAGCTTCTGACATACCAAACTCCCGCCTGCTGGAAACTAATGGGCACAGAAAGTACTTATCATAAAGGCAGCACAATCATCATTTGCCCCACCTACTCGTTAGAAGGATCAAGAAAATCATTCAGCGAATATGACAGTGAAATGTCCTCTTTAGAGGAGCAATACAGCTGTAACTTATAGGGGGAAAAAAACATATCCATTGTGTGAATTCACTCTTGAATCTGTTCTGGGAGATTCAGTAGCACTAAAGAGCCTTGAATGAAGTTTGGGAGAGCTAATCACATCTTCTAGGACAGCTCTTTGGCAGACACTCCTCCTCTGAATTTTATCTTAAGAAAAGACTACTGAAGCTCTAAGTACTGTTCTGATTTAATTCAAGCAAAGAAATGACTACAGTTTGTGGGATGGAGTCTGCTTTTAGTGGTCAGTGATCAAGATCCTCCCTTCCTGATTTCTGTATGACAGAAATTCAATTCAATTCAAAAGCAAAAACTACAAGAAGATATTAAATGAAGGAAGAAAAATAAACAAAAAAAAATCATCTTCTGCCATCCTATTACTCAGCAGAATCCAGCATCATTCCAAATATGCTTGCTGGAGTGGCATATGAAGCTATACCAACCAGCTCTCAGAAAAGGTCGGGTTGCACCTGGTTCAATTAAGATGATGCAATAGCAAGAGTTGCTGAAGTGCTGACAAAGGATGTATTTAAATATTTTATACTACCATTTGTTTGCACAGTCATCTAGGACCTGTGTCTGTAACTGAAACAGTGCAAGTTTTTATTTTCCTATGTATCACTGAAAAGTGTTTCCACGTATGTCAGATACCCAGAATACCCACTGAAAAAAGTGAATCTGTTATTTAAGAGTATTTCACATGCTTACAGTTTATTTCAGAGCGGGTCTTTTCTTCTCTCACATTTCTACTTGTCGAATGAATTCTATGAGGCACTACAAGAGGCTAAAAGAAAAAAATAAAATATTTCAATATCAAAATTACTCACTTGAAATCCAGTATCGTGTACCTAGTTTTTAACAGATTTCTTGAGCATATTAAAAAGGAAAGAAATCAAGAGAAAGCTAAAAATAAAGTTTGCACGTATATTCTTATATAGTCAAGTTAGAATTATTGGGAGACATTTTACCTGTAGAGTGTCCTCAAGATGAGGGTTTTTAAAACACTGGATTTAAGCAAACAAAGACAATGCCAGCCAGCACTAGTCTCTGCTAAGATAACGTTTCCTTTTTGCACCTTTCGCTTTAGAGTATTGGTAGTTTCCAAAGAAGCAGTAAGACTAAATCTGACTTACTGGTAGCATTTCCTTCATTCAGATAACACAGTCACTTTCACAATTTCTAAACTAAACCGATTCCTAAAACATCATCAGTTTGTCTCTTTAAGTAGGTGAGAAGTTAGTCCGAGTGTTTCAGAGCTGAATAGAAGAGAGCATTCCTGGTATTCATATGGTGTGTGGCAAGAGCAATGTCATTATTTCTAGAAATTCACCTTCATTTTTATCTTCCATTTCTATTTTTTCTCTGAATTTTCAGGGAAATCTACTTCTCTTCAGGATACAGTGCCACCAGCTTTAAGACTTGGCTTTTTTTCTCTTTGTCCCTGTTGGATTTTCTCTCTTCTTTCTCCATCCACTGCTGCAGGTTCTCTCAGAAACTACAACTTAAGGCTTCTTAACAAAAGCACAAGACCAGCCGACTGCTGTACACAATCAGGCTGCAAAATTACCGTCATAAATCCTGACAGTGTGCTCTCAGTATGTCCTCTGCAATGAAACCTTCATCTTTAGGAAAAAAAGTTCATCCTCCGTAATGTTAGCCCAAGTCATCTCTGAAAAGCACGTTCGCTATGTTTCTGTGCTGAATATGTGGCAGCAAAACAGTTTTTAATTAAAGGAATCTAACACAATAGTGTCGTCAATCTGACATGCTGGCATGTTAGTTTCACTTTTATATATACTAATTATAATCTTCACTTGGCAACTTTCAACTACGAAGTGGTGACAGAGTTAGAGAACATAAACTGTTGTAGTATCATAAAGAGTCAGAAGTAGCTCAGCAACTCTCTTCACCCTGAAATATTATCTGAAAACATTATTTCCCTTCTCCTCTTTTCATCACACACACACTACTGCTTTGCTTTCATTAGGGTCCAACAAATGTATATAGTGCTTCACCTCCCATTTACATTCACTTTGATCTTTTTTGAAACTGGAGAGACTTAAAGACTGTGGGTACTTATTTTCCTCCCATGCATCTCCCAGGTAGTTTTCCACTTCTTGTAACATACCAACTCTCCCCTTCCTCAGTTCTGGTTTGCCCATTGTGCACCCTTTTAAGTTTTAAAAATGGTTTGCTATAGCTCAGGATGTGTTTCAAGGTTTGACCTGGTTTTTTACTTCAGTATTTCAAGCACTCCAGGTACTAAAAGGTGGTTTATTTATAATCTTTTGTGAAGGGGCATTGCCCTCTTACCCATGATGGGTGCAAATCTGTAATGCCGGCACCAGGATCTCGACTAGTATAAGTGTGAGTATTTCTGCATTTGCAGTGATATTGTGCGAGTTCCTTGCATCTTGCCACACATTTTTGGACTGCAGGACAGGTAGAGCCTGCCATCACATCTCTTTCTCCACGACCAGAGAACTACTGGAAGAAGCAGTCAAATCCTCATCTCTTGGTCATCAGGACAAAGTCCTCAAGTCACCCTGAAAGACCTAAGCTGACAACAAACTGGCACAAACAGTTGACATATGAGCTGTGCAAGAGGACAAAGGAATGCAGGTTAACACGCCCTGACACAAGTGTCATCCGAACACGATTTTAATCACAGTACAGATTCAAGAGCAATCTTATCCCCAAAACTTAGTATGCTGAAGATGAAATACAAGCATTTCCCTCTTTGCAACCTCTCACCTAGTATCATGTCCATCATGAGTCACCGTCACAGAAACATGGTGACCAAGCAGTTGCTAACATCTCCAGAAGTTTTTGCTTATGGACGAGAAAGCAGAGTCCCAAAGGGAAATCCTGTCTTTGACTGAACAGGAAACTAAATGAGGTCCTCTATGAGTTGTGATAGAGAAAAATACTCAAAATGTCAGTTATAGATATTGGTGCCAAACTAATAACGACTGTATCAAGGGGAGACCTTTCTGGTTACACTCAGATAACATGATAGTATGCCTTTAGTTTTGTTTTTACACATTAGATATTTCACCTTTGTCTGAGTTTAGAATGATTTAAAAGACGTAGTACAGCACTCCTCAAAGAGCTGACAAATTTGAGTCCTAATCTTTACTTCTCTCATACAACTCATGGGGAACAGGAAAGCACGGGGAACACAAAGTGGGGAGCAACTCTGAAGCTCAAGATTCTCACCAGTGTTGTTTGTACCAGGTTAAGTTGCTTCTTTTAATTTTTGATGGATGCATTCAGGTGATTGTCACAAGTATAGCAGTCAATCTCCAAATTCAGATTAATATCTCTAGATATTCCTCTGAGCAGGCAGGTACTAGAGCAAGTTCAACCATGTATAAAAGGAGCATGTACACTTCTTACTCCCTTAGATTTCTTACAGGAAAGACCACAATACTAACAACTGCTTTGCCTACAGCAGGATTCTGCATCTGAAATATAGACCATGCTCAAGATCCATCAGATAATTCATTATCACCTACTTTATTCACAGAGAAGGGGTCTCGACCTGCTTATTACAAACTGTTTTCCCAAGAGTCACTATCAATCTCATTTTGCAGGTGGAGCAATGGCAGAGAAGTATCATTACAGCTAGCACAGAAGCCTATGAATGCAGCAGGAAACCCTCAGCAACATAAGATAAACAATAAATAAACTAACACTTGGAAAAAATGCATATCAAAAGACACACAAGCAGCTTGCTTGTCCTATATACTGTGAGCCAGTCTAGCTCCTGTATAAACGATGAAAACAGGCATCTTCTCTCATCACTGCTGTGACATTGTTCATTTCCTGATGGGATAACTCCTAAGTAATACAGTGACCAATAGAGGAGTCTTCTGAACGCTCAGAAGTGACACCAAAGAGCAAGTGCTATTGTGAAAGCTACAAGTAACCGTCACTAAAAGGTGTGCTGAAGTGACTCTGTACAGGAAGAGAAGAGAGATTCTCCACTTGAGCGGCCCAAAGGCAACATCAAAATTCTTACTGGAAAGATAAACCAGTGACAACAGGGGAAAGGCACACTGGGGTTTCAGTACCATTTCCAGCAAAGCAGGGAAGACTTTCAGGGCAAGCTACTGATCCAAGTAGCTCACTCCCAGGAAGCACACTTTTTAGGTGTGCTTTTTAGGGCAGCTCGTGAAATCTTCAGTTTTCTGGTTTCTACAGAAATATTTTAATGGGCCTCAGAGCTCTCTATCACCACTGAAGAGAGAGAGAACAAAAGAATGCCTGATCCTTAGAGCTGATGGTAAGGTGAAGATCTGTGTTCCTCAGCGTTGTCTCCATTGGGAATCAGACATCCTTCTTTTAACGCTGACATGAAAGTCAACCACATTAAGGGTTGTCCTGTGTGTTTGACTTCCCTAAATATTTTTAAACAGAAAATTTCACTGAGTATGCTCCACTATTTGCAACTGCTTTTAAAAAGTACTGACCATTCAATTCTTACGCCTTCCTCTCCTCCTTTTCCATTTACAAAATACATAAACATTGCACTCCACAATAGAAAAAAAAGATATATTTCAGTTTGGCTTATTTCCACATTTATTTATTTCAGCTTCTAAGGAAGACAGACTTAGTGCACATCAACTTGTCTTTGCTGTTCCAAAAAGGTAAAAAGCACTTAACTTGTAAAAGCTGAAAACTTCTATTTTCAAGTAGCTGCTTCTTTTGAGATTATTTTCCTTTGAAGGCATTTTTAGCCTAGCTTATCCATAACAAAGAACACACAAGTATGTGATGAAGAAATCTATGGCTTTGTGTCAAAAGGATTAATTTAATTTTTTCCCCAAAAAAAAAATATCATCCTTTAGGGAACTGTAAAAAGACAGAAAGTCTGCCCTAACATACAGTTAAGTACGAAGACAGGATGCAGTAACAGAGTATCTGTTTTCTCTTATTTATGAAACACTTCAGTCCCACACTGTTTATCATCTTACATAAGCATGCTATTTTCTCCCAGTTGTTAAAGCAGAAAACCAGAAACTTTGCCTTTGACAAAACTGAACGTGAAATCAAGTCTCGCAGTGTTCTAAAATAGAAAACATAATCGGCAGGAAACATACAGCAAACCATTTGACAAAAACAACTACAGGATCACCGTCGTCTTCTCTTAAGAAAGTAAATTAGAAACAAAAGAGTAAGTTCTACAGAGCTATAAGATGATTTTTACGAATGCTTTCTTTGTAGATGGATGGAAGCAATTCCACAAAGAAACAAAAAGCAGAACGCATGACAGAACTGGAGAAGCAGTCCACATTTACTGTTGCAAAATTGCTGAAGGACAAAAATAAAATTTTAAAGTGTTTACATCTCTCTCTCTTTGAGCTTCTCTCTCCCAAATATAGTGAATTTTCCTAAGGGCCTGTACATGTGACAGTAAAAGCAACCCTTGAGACTACTCCTAGATCACAAAACATTCTGTGGCTCAACAAACCAGAATCATTTAGCTTTGTCAGCAAATGAAAACTTAATCTGATTCTATGATTAAACTGTATTCCTACCTCAGGATCATCATCATCAAAATCAGGGTAAGTGGAATGATCAGGATTATTCATTTTATCCAAAAGCTCAATAGCAAGACTTCGGTTTAATGGCTGGGTAACAAACGGATGCTGAAAGACAGAAGAAAAACACACCCACATATCAAAATTCCAATCACTCCTATTACGCATAATTTAATTTTATAACTGAAAAAAAATCCCATATATAAATTTATACCTGTAGGAGCTTTTCAGCTGTAGGTCTTTTTTTAGGATTTTTTGTAAGTGCCATTTTCACAAAATGATGGAAACTATTGGACCTGCAAAATGAAGCAGTAAACATTAGAATCAATTTCCCAGTGAAATATAAGATCATTATCTACTGAAATAGAAAAGTACTTACCATTTCATTTTATCCTTTAATTTAGGAGGCTGGAAGTTGCTTTTTGTCATTAGAAAAAGTGCTCTGAAAAAAATGAGATGAATTACTAAATATATTATTTGGTTGGCATGAAGAAGTCCATCAGTTTAAGAGATGCTACCAGGATAATCTTACACATTCATGCACCAAAAGGAGTTGTACATTCAGAACAATTCAATACCCACACAGTCCCTCCAGACACCACAAGCACACGTAGCCACTACTCCAAATGGATTATTTATGAAGCTGTACTTACACACGAAGCTTTAAATCTTTACTAACCTCATTGGATGTAGGTCAAACATTGGAGGCTGAAGTTCAGCAAGCTCTATAGCAGTTATTCCAACTGCCCACAGATCACAGAGCTGGTTATAGCCACCTTTTCTTTCTACTGCAGCAACTTCTGGCGCCATCCTAAAGGACAAGATATTTTTAGATAAACTTCTTGCCACAAATTGAACGTTTTTCTGTGTGGAGCAGTTTACTACTCTTTTCCCTAAAACTCTCAATCTATAAGCATAGAATATACATTTCTTTGTGTGTGCGTAGCTATGTAATGTATACGTTAAGCTTTCCTCAATCATCTCCTGGTAACTAAAAGGCAGTTTCCAAAACAGCTATTTAGCAGTAAGAGAATAAAACCACTGTCTCGGACCTTTTTTTGCAGTCACACAACAAATCACCACTCAACAACAAAAGAGCCTAAGCTATAGTCATTCAACTACAGTAAACCTCAAGTAATATCCAAATTCACACATTACCCCAGAAAGTGATCAAGTGACTTCTGAAGAGAAGAATTCTTACCAAAAAAAAGTTACAAAATGTCAGCTTTCTCGTATCCTGAAAGCATGAGACCTGAAGCCTGATTGTAACTTCTGCACAGAGCACTCCCTGCTTGCAAAGTTTACCTTTCTGCAATGTCAGAAATCCTCATTCAAGTTCACAAGATAGTTTCATATCTTCAGGTGACAAAAACTATCAAACATAACTAACACATAAATAGGAATATCTAAAGGATTCACTAGGCATTGCCACAAGTTTTGAATGGTCAAAGTGAATTACAGCTTTGATTGCCCTACAGTCACATCAGAAGGTAAATATGTTAGTACTTTTTAGCTTTGAACTTTCTTAGTCCAGATCACCTGAAAAGCAGCAGAGGAAACGGAGATGTGAGTCAATAAAGGTTAATACAGATGAATATCAGTTAATGAGTGCACCAGGAAAGCAGCAGGCAGCACCTCAAATTGATGTGTTAATCACAGCCACCCTTATTCGGAGATCTGAATTCATCAGGATTTCAAGTTTGCATAGTTACACTAAATTCACATAAATTCTAAGAATTCATTAAAAAACAACCACTCTAAATCAAAAAGGAGAGAGTTACCTCAGTAGAGCAGGAGCATGACTTAACTTGAAAAGACACAGAGGAGGAGCACAACAATAAATACGAGAGTGACTGGAACTACAGATGCTGCACAGCAGTTTTGCCCTTTATTCCTCTCCCATCCAAACACTACCGCCTTGCCCGCCCAGGCATCTTTTAACAATCACTCAAACCTTCGCACTGCCTGTTTCCAACTAAATTTTCTTCTCCGTGTCCTCAACAATTTTGCTCCCTCGATTTTCCCCTCAAATCTCCGAGAAGCTTTGCAAAGAAAAGCTGATGCTTTTCATTAGCATTTAACCTACGTAATGCTTTCCAAGTTAATGTTTAAGGTTATGACATGTCATTTGAGGAGCCTGGCACATTTTGGACAGTAATACAGGCCAGGACTAAATTCAGACTCTTAGGAAAGAGAGAGACATAAACCAATTACACAATCATGACTGATGGGTGTTTGTGCTATTCTGAAAGGGAAGTGAATCCTTGCCTTGATTTAACACTGCAGAAGAATGCTAAAAATGCTGTGTGCTTGACTATTTCAAGACTGAATACTTAAATGCAGGGTTGTGGTGTGGTTTTTTTCCCATTATACACATTTTTATCTTGTACCTACTAGGCTGCCAGATAACAGAATTTTGAGTATCTTTCTAGGAAACATACAAGAGAAGCGCTATTTTACAGTGAAGAACATGTGTCCTTCACCTTGAGGTGAAAAGGTATCAACTACATCCAGTACAAAGAGAAGAAAATAAAATGCTAAACTTTAGAACACAGACTACGCACATTAGCTTACTGATGGAAGAATAAAATATGCAGTACAGATAGAATATAAATGTATGTTTGAATTTAATCAGTGTAGGCAAATAAGGGGGGGAAGAAAATTACTTAGAGGAAACATTTCACAAGTTGCAAAACAAATGAAACTCATTATCAACTGAAAAACTGCAGGAAAGATGTATCTGGGGTAGAGGGGAAGAAATATTAAGAAACAATATTAAAAATCAGGGAAGAAAAATATTTAAGATCAGAGTTAAAAACAAGCAAAACTGTTGATAGCTTTTAAGTTTGACTAAATTGAGATACATCAGCCAACAACAGCGATGGCAGCACACAGACAGCTTTTCAATTTTTCAGAGCATTAGAGAATTTTCTCTGCTATTCCGCTAATTCAGGATTTAGAATGACTCATACAGATATGATCACCAGAAAGTCTGACACAGCCTTTAGAGATTAGTCTCCCCAGAAAGTGACAGAGTGCTTTTATCACGATTTTTCAACAGTATTATATATGTTACTATTATATTAACGGCCAAGTAAAACACAGTTACCAATATGGGGTGCCAATGAACGATTTCCTTTTGGCAATTGTAGCTGTAATCTGCGCAGACACTCCAAAATCAGCTATTAAAAAAAAAAAAAGAGTAACAAGAAAACAATAGTCAATAACTGATTTGATGTAATTAATTGTTAATGGGTATATATTTGGGTTCCCCACTATAAAGGCTTCTTAAATATACTGGAAATTTAACAGAAAATAAATAACACAATCAAATAATTGAAGCTTCATGTATTCATGAGTCAGCTCATCTCAATTCCCTGGCAAATATGCAAGCCGCACATAAACATGCCCCTCATCAACACCAGAAAGAAGAGGTTAGCACAGAAGCCCTAACAGTTTCATGCAGTGCTTTAATATGATAAAATACAGCATTTAGTATCATCCAAGAGATTTTTTCAGATAACCTCTCAAGGCACATTTCAGACTTAAGAACTCTGGATGGTACTTTTCATTAAAAACTTATACAAATTCGTGACTTGAATTCTACCTTTCTATTACAGCATCAGAAAGTCTTTTACCTCAGCGTTCCAAAACTACTGCAATTACTCCTCAGACACTACTTGAATGGTGCAATTAGATATTACCAGCAAGAGAGAAAGAATTCCAATATTCTTTAATTCCTTACACAAACTATAACATTATTAAATGAAATACAGAAGACTGCTTCTTAGAGCACATGAAAATCTGTTAGCAATGCCAAACTGTATTAACTCACCTAATTTTACATGTCCATTATCCGTTAAAAGAATGTTAGCTCCCTTAAAAAAAAAAAGTAAGCATACTTGAATTAAAACATACTGATTCGTCTGATACCATATTTTTTTAGAAGTTATGTGAGATCTTACGGCAAACTAGGGGCCAAAGCCAAACCAAGGGTTGTGTATTCAAGAAATCTGCAGCGTTATCAAGGAAATGTTTGTGAAATTACTAAGCTGCCATAAAGAAACTTGCATATACAGGGTTTCTCGTTAATTTTTAGTTCACTCTTCTTTAGCCTATGGTACTACAGAGTTTCCACTGCATACAAAGACCCTCTCAAAAAGCAGAATATTGTGATTTTCCTATGCTGATGAATTCTTACTTTTTTCTATTTACAGTGACTGAGAGGAAACAGGAACTCTAAAGGTCAAAGAGGAAGTAATTTGATTTTCTTTTCATATGTAGGAGCTGGTTTCGACTTGTTTGAGAGCGCTGATAATTATAACTATAGTCTTAAGGACCTCCTTTGATATTTAAGTGTTTAGCAAAAGTATTTCCATCGTTATGCAACAAAGATTCTGTTAGTGCTAGGTCTGAAGAGCTCACTTTTGTATGGCTGGACGTACCGCTCTCTTTCAGTTCAATAACGAAAACTAACCCAAAGCAGCAGTCAGTACCAGAAAATCACAACATAAAAGGACCGAGAACAAATCTGACCTAAAGGCTGAAACCCGGTACTGGTCGAGTTGAGTGAAGGCTGGAGCTGGCTAAACCCAGCTTCAAATGTCAGCACCGCCCATGAACTAGATGGAAAAGCAGCATAGATGGGCCTCCAAAAACCCTAGGATTTTTTACAGGTTATGGCTCTTCACAGAGAATCAAAAGTCAGGCCTGCAGTAAAACACTGCTTACTTTGGCAAACGTTGCACAAGTGTAGTTAATGAGCCTTATAAATGAAGCTTGGTAAATAGCGTGACAGTCCAGTTAAGGTGGTCTTGACCTTGTTCACCTTTCAAGAGTAACGCGACAGATACTCTAAATATGTAACGTAGTTACGGAGGGAAGCAAACATAATGCAACAGGCAGGAGATCTGCAGATGAAGATAGTATTTTTCCATGCGTTTGGGAAAAAAAAAAAGAAAGTAATAATTCTCAATGAAAGGACTGTAAGCATTTTTTATCGGCACAGTTCTGTTGAGAAATACCTATCTATGCTCTGTATCCTTACAAAGTATAATGAAAAATGTTTAAAATCTTGTGTCCAAAGTAATCATTCATTCAGAAATTATTTTTATCAGTACTCAAAACACAAATATCCTGCAGTCAATGAAAACAACTTGGAATCAGGCTGCATTAAGGCATCTACAGTTGAATCTGCTATACACTGCATTCCTAGTCTGGGGAAAAAAAAGGAAAAAAAAACAAAACACAGAAACAACCAACACAACACAAAGGAATATGGTAATTTACTGCCAAATCTCCAGGAAGAAGCCTGCCAAGTTTAAGCTGCAGTCTGAGCAAGGAGGAGTTTGGGAAAAAAAGCAAAAAGTAGCAAAACTTCAGGGACAGAAAGTTCACCAGAAGCATCAGCAGAAAACTGTTTAAGAGAGAGCATAAGAGTCTGAACAAGCCACCTTTTCTGAGATGAAGGTTTAAAGAAGTCAGCGTCAAGAGCCTGATTTGTGGTACCCTCTCTAATTTTATCACGTGAGGGAGGGGACAGAAGCAGTCTCCGAGAACCCTGCAGAACAGCAGCCAGGGCCCTGTAATCTGCTCACCGAAAAAAAGCCAAGAGGCCAGAGCAGCAGCTCTGCTCACTAGCTGGTTCAGAGACGCACCCTTGGTATGCTGAGCTTCTTGGAAAGGTGTGGGAAAGAGCAAACCTTCACTTTTGCACAGAGCACACCCTTACAGTCATCCCAAAACATGTTGCTCTGGACACTGGGTAATGACTAAATTTTACAGCACTGGTCAAAACGATGCATTTTATAGAAAGATTCTTTTTTTCTTCCCTTGGGCAGAAAAATTCAATTTGTTCTAACAGACAGAAATAAAAAGTGAAGGGAATTTTAGTGGTTTTACTTACCTTTATATCTCTGTGCATTTTTCCTTTACTGTGAAGATAATATAGCCCCTGCATAAAGTATTTAGATAGTAATTTAGTAATTTTATATACATTCCTTACTTAATTACCAGATAAGATCTGATACAATCCTCTAGTTGACTCAAGGACAGAAGAACATTTTTATGTTTCAATGTCCCTGAACTGCATTTGCACATTCAATATATGTAATGGCATAATATCTAGAACACAGGATAGATGGAAAGAATATCAGCCACCACATTATCAAAAGAAAAGCATTCCCAGACCAACTTTTCTGCTGGACACAGTAACTGTGACCTTTTTAGATCAAGTTTACTTTTAAATTGCCTAACAGCTTTCTATTCGGCAGTCAGATCACTGGATAGCTAGTGCTGTTACCTCCCATATCATTACACACTTCAATTAAGTCTGGAAGTGTGCTTGCAGGCAGCGCTTCGGGTCTGATAGAGGAGCAGAACTCTCAAGGATTCCTGCAAAAGCATTAGGCTGTGTCTTTCTGGTTTCAATGACACTACATTCAGGCTTTCATGAAGTGCTAACCAGTTACAAAATTCAACTCCTTAAATAAACTAAAAGAGGGGAAAAAAACTTGCTCACATGCGTTTTAAACTTTTTCTCTGGAGGAAATACTAACAATACCCAGTCAGTCCAATAGTTTTTAGAGAGTCCTCATTGCAGGCATGTGTAGACCCAAAAACTGGACTCCACTTGCTTTTGCTACAGAGCATAACTGATCAGAGCACCTACCCGACCGCTGCAACAGCTGGCATTACCTAAAAGAGACCCATGGACACCTCCCAAATTTACATCTCTGGATGCTAGTGGCACAGAAAGTGCAGCGATCCACTCATTTTTACCACTACCCTGGAAAAACGCAAAGTCACCATTTTCAACACTGCATGCCTGCAGGCAGGTACTTTAAAGAACCTGTATTTTCAGAATCAGTCTCATTGATTCCAACTAGAATGAGTGTTTCTGAAAACAGAACGTTTAATGGGCTTCTAAATACAGAGATCAAGCACTAGCTTTAGGCATTCAAGTGACACTCTGGATTCAAGGAAACTGATGGCAAAATTAACATTGGACAAACTACTTCTACGGATGAAAAGATGGCTTATAATCTCAAACTATTTAATAGGAAAAGTGACTAATGCATTGTAAGCTACATGATACTAGAAACTATACACATCATAATTGGCCAGAGCATTATAAGCATGTATTAACAGGCCACTTGAAAATATACAAAAATGGGTCCATGGATAAAACTTAAACGATACACACAAATCAGCAGTTCTCACAAGCAATTTAAACACATTAACCAAGAAATCTTCTCACACAATAAATAATTATTTTACACATTTTTTTACAATTTCCACTGCATACAAAGACCCTCTCAAAAAGAAGAATATTGTCATTTTCCTATGCTGATGAATTCTTACTTTTTTCTACTTACAGTGACTGAGAGGAAACAGGAACTTTTACAATTTTTTTACAATGTTTACTATTGAAACACTCCTCCATATTCCAAGAAGATTATGGAGTTGGTGGATGGACTGTGAGGTGGATAAAGAAATGGCTGAATGGTCATACCCAGAGAGCAGTGGTCAATGGCTCAATGGCTCGATGGAGATCAGCAAGAGGTGGTGCCCCTCAGGGGTCTGTACTGGGACCAGTGCTGTCCAGTATCTTCACCAATAACACAGTGAGTGGGATCGCATAAATTTGCAGTTCACTCCTAGCTAAGTGGTGTGGCTCACATGCCTGAGGGACTAACACCACTCAGAGGGACCTGGACACCCTTGAGAGGTAGGCAAATGTGAACCTCATGAGGTTCAGAGAGGCCATGTGCAAGGCCCTGCACCCAGGTTGGGGCAATACAGGTATCAGTAGAGGATGGGGGATGAAGGGATTGAGAGCAGCCCTGCAGAGAAGGACTTGGGGGTCCCAGTGGATGAAAAACTGAGTATGAGACAACAATGTGTGCTCACAGCTCAGAAACACCTCAATCACATCCAAAAAAAGTGTGGCCAGCAGCCTGAGGGAAGTATTTCTGCTTCCCTACTCTGTTCTGGTGAGACCTCGCCTTGAGTACAGCATTCAGCCCCGCAGACCTCAGGACAGGAAAGACACAGACCCACTGGCACATCACAAAAACAAAGAAAGGCTGAGACAAGTGGGATTGCTTAGCCTGGAGAAGAAAAGGCTCCAGACTTTTAATACTTAAAGGGGGCTTATGAGAAGGGTGGGGACAGACTTTTTAGCAGGGCCTGTTGCAATAGGACAAGGGTTAATGGTTTTAAACAGGAAGACAGTATAAGGAAGACTTTTTTTTTTTACAATGAGGGTGGTGAAACACTGCATGCCTTGCCCAGAGAGGCAGGAGATGCATCCTTGGAAACACTCAAGGTCAGGCTTGATGGGGCTCTGAGCAACCCGATCTAGCTGATGACACCCCTGGTCACTGTCAGGGGTTGGACTAGGCAATGTCTAAAGGTCCCTTGCTACCCAAACTTCTAATAACAAGGGGTTTAAAGGTTGAGAAACCAAAACACTCCCAGATATCATATAAAAGACTTTACTGGAAGGGGAAAAAAACCCTCATGTCCTGTGAAGTCAGAAGCCAACAATTTCTGGCATAGCATAGGGCAATAGTAAGTGGCATGCAAAGGAGTTGGCTGAGGGACAGAGCTATCTTCAAAGAGTGTTTGAGAGGTAGCAGCTCTCAACTGATGGTATTCAACAGATCTGCATTCACTAGAAGCCAAGAACTGTGCTCTCACATGGAAGCAAGACATCCACCAAAAATGCCATTTCTGAGTAAGTTTTAGCGATGAACTGGACCTTTAATTTAGGAAAGGAAAATGAAAGCTAGTATACCTATGAGGAGAGGCTGGTGACCTTAACTTGAACATCTTATATACGCAGGCAATTTTTTTTCCTTATAGGCACAGATCAATTATTAGATATGCAAAACAAGAGCCTTTATTTCCCTTCAAACCTGCAATAACTAATTTGTACCACAAAAATAGATTAATAAACATGCTGCTTTCTCCTTTAAAAAGGACAAACAAAAAACAATACAGCAGAAGCATGATGACAGTTTTCTTCAAATGATCTAGGACAACTTGAGGTTATGCAAGTATACATGTAAGTTCTAGGCTATAATACAGGACCTCTCAGAAGTCTGAGAAAAATGCTAAACCATCCAAACACTACTTACATGGCATCACACATATTTGTACCTTTAGTTTTAGCTTTTAATACTTTAACATTAAAAGTCAACCACAAGAACTGAGAATACACTACCTGTAGTGTTTCTCTGCTAACATACGCAATCTGCTGTTCTGAAAGTGGTCCAGTCACTGAAATGGAAAGGAAGAAAAATAAATTCTCAAAATCAAGTAAGACACTGCCCATTCCAAACTCAGACATCAGTTTCTACTATTCACACTGATAGGATCTTATCCTTGAAATCTCAGAGTAAATGTGCCTAGACTCTCCCCCAGACCAAAAACATCTAGAAATAGTCTAGAAACCACTAACTCCCCCCATATATAAATCTCAAAGTAATTAAGAGGAAAAAGAACGAGAAGCAGTGATTTAGCACAACTCTT